GTGATGGGTACCAGAATCCCTGAATCCTGGCCTGTCCCTGTCCCTGCCTGCCTTGCTCTGTTCTCTGAGCCTCACTGGCCTCAGAGCCCCTCAGCTCTGTCCAGAGATTGTTCAGACTCCCTCCCTTGCACCTTGACCTGTGGGTGTAGAATCCCAAGGGTAGAAAGGCTGCAGGCCAACTCCTGGGCTCCATGTAGGCCTCCCCTCTTCCCCCCCAGCCCCAAGCCAAGTATGTTGTTAGGCAAGGGTATGAGGTGGGTGGGTCGATGCAGGGGAGGGTCCAACTGTGGGAGGAGGCTCTGTCAGTTGTGCTTGTGTCTCCACCCTGAGGCTGACATGGTCCTTGTCCCTTGCCCTGCATCCTTTCTGGCTGCCTGACTCAGGCATTCCCTGGCAGAGTGCCCACATTCCTCCTATTCCCAGAGCCTTGCCACCCACTTTCAAAGGGCTCATTGAGGTCAGCACTCAGTGCTCCTTGAGGTCAGTGGGTCAGGTTGGAAGGCTGTCCCTGCTTAGGCCAGGCCTTGGGGCCCACCCTTTGTTGCTACCTTGCAGGCAATGATAACCCCTATTCCAGGCCCCCGATTCTGGTTGCCCTCCCCTTGGGCTATCCTCTTCTTTCACAATCAATGTGGATGTGGGGCAGCAGTGACAGCACCCAGAGGGAATGAAGGGAGGACCGATGCTGCCAGGCAGGCCTACTTTAGGACACCTGCCCAGCTGAAGTCCAGACTTACATGACCAGTTGACTGCTGGGACAGTGGGGGAAGTGTGGGGGGCCATGAAAGGAATTAGGCCTGGTTCTTTCCAGTAGAACTAGAGCCCACGGATACCCTGGCTGGGGCTGTGTCTGGGGGCGCCTACCTCCCACAACCCAACCAGCCTCTCTGTCCCTATAACTGGCTGGGGCTAGGCTTGCTAGTACCTGCCCTGGGAAGAGGATGGGGAGTCCGAGGGGCCATGGGTCCGGCTGTGGCTCTCTTGGTCCGGAAAGAGTGAGATTGGCTCAGGATCACATGGAGGTGGTGGTAGGTTGTCTTGTGCCTGGCCCACCTCTGGGGCCATGCCCGCCCCATGTGCCCCTAGTCCCCTCCCCTGCCTGAACCCCTGGTTATTCTGGGAGCTTTTAGCTACCACTTAGTCAGCCACTAATGCGTCAGGCTGGGGAGTGAGGGGGGAGACACAGTGCCAGACGGTGCTCCTTTTAGACACATAGGATGGGAAGCTGGTCAGGCAGGGAGGTGTAGGGGGAGCGGGGGCAGCGGGGGACACCAGAGGAGGGACAGCAGGGGATGTCAGAGGAGAGGCAGCAGTTCTCAATGCTGGCCATGCTTGCAGGGGGCAGACAGCATGGGAGACTGGTGGGTGTGGGTCTGTGTGCACTTGGGCTGGCACTTGGCCAGTGGCCATAGCCTACCCGCATCACACAGGGCCTTCGGCCCACCTTCCCAATTCTTTTCTCATTAGGTCTCCCCCAGGCTTTAGCATGTGTCCTCTGTCCCCCTGTGCTTTCCGTCCTCTGCCTCCCCATCTTTGTTCAGGCTGTTTCCCTGCCTGGAATTCTCTCCCGCCTTGTTCTTGGCCATCTAGCTTTTATCCTCCTTCACCATCCCTTTTGATTCACAATGTGGCAGAAAGAAAGCGTTTAGGGATGTGACACTTGCTCTCTTGCCCCAGGCAGCCCTGGGCCTTGCTCAACCCCTGCCTGGGCAGTGCCTTGAAGGTCACCCGCTGCCCTGGCCTAGCTTTCTCAGAGTAGGTCCCACTGGGCCCCCATCCCGGCCGGGATGGCTTGGTGCTGCCTTCACTTCCAGGCAGCCCTCCTTTCCCTGAGCCCCCAGCCCCCGCTCCTACCGGCAGGAACAAAGCTTTCTTTCATGTATTCATGGGGCTGCTGCTGCTCGACACTTTCCGGGCACAATTAGGCCTTTTGAGGGCCTCAGGCAGTGCGGGAGCCCTAGCGGGGCTGAGGCTGGGGCTGGGGTGGAGAATGGGCCAAGCCCTTATCCTGGAGCCGAGCTGGTGCCATCTCCCTGCCTCCCTCCCCTCCCCCCGCCATATGCATCACCAGACCCAGAAGGGGCAGGCGCCTGGGGTCATGGAAGGCAATGCTCCCTGGGCTCCTTCTTCTGCAAAATGGAACCAGCAGTCCTTGTCATTCCCCTACCCCCACTCCGAGGCTGCAGCCAGGATTTGAGGAGACCTGGGCTCAGGTTGCAGATCTGTCCAGCACTGTCCTGGCCCTGCGGCTGCAGCCGCCACCTAGCCCTCATCCTCCCTTTGTGTATTCTGCAAATACTTTGTGAGCAGCCCTGGGGGCCATACAAAGACAGGTTTGCTTGAGGGCTGTGCAGACTTTCTTCATTGTGGTTAACTTACCCTTTAGATTGGTTCCCAGGGCCAGGTGTCCCTTTAGACCTTCCTCTCCAGGCCTGGGTCAGGTCTCCTCTATCAGACTTGGCTCTCCAGGGCAAGACAGAGTCTGTTCCTCCCTTTGACTGCCCTGCAACCCAGACAAAAACCCTTTCCAGGGCTCCCACCTGGTGCCTCTTTCCCTGAGAGTAGAATTTTATATTGGCCCAGCCTGAGGGGCGGTGTGTGGGATTGAAGTGACTTCTGGAGGTGGCCTTTATGGCCTGAGGGGTGAGGCTCCCGGACTCCCCACTCCTGGAGCTGTGGATCTCAGGCCCCAGTCCAAGATCTCCAGATGCAGACTTGCAACTTTTTCTGGCGGCTGGCTGATGTGGGGAGAGGAGGGGAGCTGGGGCCGCAGACTGTCTGGATCCCTGGCTGGGCTGTGAGGAGGCAGCCCTCCTCCAGTGGGTGAAAGGAGAGCCCTGGGAGCTGAGTCAGGAAGGACAGGTAGCTGAGGACTGCTGACCCCAGCATGCCTCTAATTTTATCCCTGCTGGAAAGAAGGAGGGCAGGGCAGCAGTCAGGGCTTGTATCAGAGCATGGAGGCCTGAGACCTGCTCGCTCTGCCAACCTTGGCCAACACCCCCAGCACTGAGCTGGGCTATCAGTCCCTGTCCTGTAAATCCTGGGCTGACAGAGAGCTAGGCTTAGGTCCCAGATCTCCCTTGGGCTGCGCAAAGCCCCCTGGGAGAGCCAGGTGGATCGGAGGACAGTGAACTCAACACTTGTCTCTATGGCCAGAGTGCTAGCATCACCCTGACTGTGCCTGAGAGCTGATACTCCTTCTGGAGGAGTGATGTATCCTGCCTTGAGTGTGACCTTGGCTAGATATACCTCCCAGGGGGCCTCAGTTTCCTCCTTTGTACTCTGAGCCAGGCTGCAGCTGAGGTGAAGAGTGAAAATATCCCATGTCCCATCTTCTGGTTATCTTTCATATAGGGAGATAAGGACGGGAGCTCTGGTAGCATAGTGCCTAAGGCATTTGACTGCTAACCAGAAGGCTAGCGGTTCAAACCCACCAGCCACTCCTCGGAAGGAAGGTTGGGCAATCTATTTCTGTAGTGATACCACCTCAGAAACCCAAGGGGGGGTCGCTATGAGTTGGATCCGACTCATCAGCAGTGAGTGAGTGAGTGTAAGGAAAAGAATGGAGGTGTGGGGCCCATGGTGTGCAGCCCAGGTACCCTTCACCCACACTGAATGCAGGTCCTATAGGGATGAGTTCAAGTAGCAGCAAGAGAGATTCACAGCAAATTGGAGAAAATGGCACTTCTTCTCTGCCTGGGATGGAGAGTGTCCTGCTTAAGTGTCACTGCCAAACCAGCAGCCCCAGAGTTTGTTGCAGCTGAAAAAACAATGGTCAGGCCAAGTTCCGGGGTGAGGGCCTCATGCTGGTCAGAGGTGGGAGGATGCTGTTTGTGGCTGATTGCTGGGGGCATAGCCACAGGCCATCCCCTCCCTATAATTTAGTCCTGTAACTGGGACAACCTCAGCAATGTCACCGGAGAGAGAGACAAGACATTTTCTCCCTGGAGGCAGCGGTTGCAGACAGTTTCCTTTTTGGGCGAAACTTTTCTGGTCAGCCCTTCTACTTAAAGGCCTAGAATGTGCTCGCTGAAGGGACCCCCTGTCCCAGGGCTGAGGGAGTGCTGAGCTGGTCTTTCTTCCTGGGAGAGCTGGGGTCTTAGTGAAACGAGGCTATGTGGGGCCACGCTGCAGAGCCCAGCTGAGGGCTGGAGTATGGGCTCTACTACTGACTTGCTTCCATGTGACCTTGGGCTGGCCCCTGCCCCCTCTCTTGGCCTCTGTTTTCCCAGCTGGGAAATGGGAGGGAATGGACTTTAGGATCCATTTCCAACTCTGACCTATTGCTCACTTAGGGGCTGGGAGTGAGCAAGGAGAGTTCAGGAAGGACTTCCTGAAGGAGGGGACGGGGTTCTGGGCAAAGTGCTTTCCTAGGATTTGGGCTTTGTAAAGTGGTACTCAGAGGCCTCTCTGGCTGCAGGGGATGGAGATGGCTGCTTGCTCTGTCTGAGACACCCCTAGGGCCAAGATGAGGCTTTGGCCCTGGGGGCAGAGCTGAGGGGCTGGGGTCCCTCCCGCATGAGCCCAGTCCCTCAGGAACAGCAGAAGGACTATCCGTTCTCCCTATCACTTGCCATCAAGTCCACTCCGATTCATGGCGACTCTGTGTGTGACAGAATAGAACTGTATTTCATAAGGTTTTCAATGCTTGATTTTTTAGAAGAAGATTGCCAGGCCTTTCTTCCAAAGTCCCTCTGGGTAGATTCAAACCTCCAACCTTTCAGTTAGTAGCTGAGTGTGTTAACCGTTTGCACAACCCAGGGGCACCCTGTTCTCCCCAGGGCCCTTAAATCATGCATATGGTATAAGGAAGGGACAGGCTACATCCTAGGGATCATGGCTCTGGGGTGATGCCACACCAGCCCAGCTCTTGTCTCTGAGGCCCGGCCAGTGCCCTGAGTACCAAGCATTAGCTGCCAGAGGGGCTGATGTGCCTGTGGGATCCAGGATCTTCCCCTCAAGACCTGGCTTACTGTTTCTACCAATTGCTGCCTCTGCAGGCCACGGAGGACAGGACCGAGTGGACTTTGGCCAGATCGAACCACACACAGTGCTTTTCCACGAGCCAGGCAGCACTTCTGTGTGGGTAGGTGGACGTGGCAAGGTGTATTTCTTCGACTTCCCTGAGGGCAAGAATGCTTCCCGGCGCTCGGTGAGCTCCCCCTACCCTCTGTCGGCCTCAGGGACACAGCTAAGTCTCTTAGCCCCTTCACCTCCTCTCTCCTTTGCTCCTCTTTGGCTTTTGGGCCCTAGGGAATGCTAGTTGGTATTTCTTCCTAAACCTGCTCACCACCCCCCTCCACTATATCCCATAAATGGTCCTTGGGAGAGGTTCCCTAAAAGTAGTCCAGATTAGAAGAAGGTGGTGGTTGGAGGATAACTAGGAGTTAATGTTCTTGGGCAGGTGGGCAGCACGGATGAGAGAAGTCCAGGCAGCTGTCTTATGCAACCTGTCTTCTGAAATCTCTGGGTTGGATCCATTGAGCGGGGCTTTGGCTCTGAGGCATGGCTGAGGGGCTGTGTGGTCTGGGGTAAACTACTCACCCTCTCAGAGCCCCCGTTGCTCATCTATGCAATGAGAATACTGGTCGCTCCATCATGGGTTCATCCTGGGGGTGCATGGGAAGCTCCGGAGTGGGCATCTTGCCCCTGGTAGAGGACACTAATACTTTTCCCTCCCTCAGGTGACCATTGGCTCCACGAAGGGGTCCTGTCAGGACAGGCGGGTGAGTGGGGAGAGGGAGCATGGTGGGGAGGCTGAGTCCTTGGAAAAGGGCAAGGAGACCCTGACTATCTGAGAGGGAAGGCATGGCCCTGTTCTAGGAGCCTGGACTGAAGAAGGAGGCATGGCCTGGGAGCCCCAGTCTCAGAGGAGAGAGGCAGCCCTGCCTTAGGGTTCCCAGGCTGAGAGGAGAGACATGGTTTTTCTCTGGAGGATTCTATGCCCTTCCTCTGTTCTTGGGGGGATGGTATCAGTTGCACCCCCTCTGGCCTCCTCTTAGAAGCTGCATACTGTGTGTCAAGCCCCTATATCTGATACCTTCTCCCTGAGGCTGTGTGTTAGGGCTAGGCCTGTGAGAGCCTTCCATCGACTGACTTCTGTCTTCACCCTTCTCCTCCTGGGCAGGACTGTGAGAACTACATCACCCTCTTGGAGAGGCAGGGTGAAGGACTGTTGATCTGCGGTACCAACGCCCGGCGCCCCAGCTGCTGGAAACTGGTGAGACGGCCCTTCCTTATGTGTCTAACTAGCTCCCTCTGGCCTAGGTGGGCTCTGCCCCCTGTGGTGAGAAGGTGGTTGGGGGACTCTGAGGCTGGACTCACTCTGAGCCTCACCCTGGAAGGATGGGGTTCCTGACTGAAGGGTCAGTGGCCATAAGATCATGTGGCCATCTGACCCCTTCATCTCCCTCAGATGAATGGCACCGTGGAGCCCCTTGGTGAGAAGAGGGGCTATGCACCCTTCAGCCCGGATGAGAACTCCTTGGTTCTGTTTGATGGTATGGCTGCAGCTGGGGCAGGAGGACCTGAGGTTTCTCAGGAAAGGGTTGGTCAGCTCCTTGTCCCATAGCCCAGCCCCAGGGAGGGACTTCCAGGAGTGTCTGTCCTTACCAATGCCCCCTCATACTGTACCAGGGAAGGAGGTGTACTCCACCATCCGGAAGCAAGAATACAATGGGAAGATCCCCCGGTTCCGTCGCATCGAGGGTGAGAGTGAGCTGTACACGAGTGACACTGTTATGCAGAGTAAGTTGCCAGCTGGACTGTGGTGGGTGAGGGTGTGACACTCAGGGCAGATGTGTCCCTTAGGAGGCCTCCCTGAGGGTTGCTTGGGCCAGAGACCATTCAGGAAAGCCAGAGCTTGTGGAGAGCTGAGCAGTGAAACCCAGAGTGTTCAAGTTGCAGACCAAAAACCAAAAATCAAACCCACTGCATTGAGTCAATTCTGACTCATAGTGACCCTCAATGGGTTTCCAAGGCAGTAAATCTTTATGGAAGTAGATTGCCCATCATCCTTCTGCAGAGTGGCTGGTAGGTTTGAACCTCCAGCCTTCTGGTTAATAGTCAGTTGCCTTAGGCACTACGCCACCAGGGCTCCTTCAGGTTGGCAAGGAGCAGGGTAACAGCAGACACAGAGGTGCAGAGGCAGAATGGGCCCAACCCATCCCAGAGAACAAGAACAGAGGAAGCCTTAGACCCAGCTCGGGGTCCCTGGGAGCCAAAGTTTATCCCTCTGCTGAACACATGTGAGAGCAGCCAGCTCCTCCCTCCTCATTAGGGCACCACCAATTAAGCAGAAGTGACATAGGGGCCCCCAGGGGCCTCCCCCAAGTCCCTAGGCATGAAGTCATTGCTCCCTGGCCGATGACATCTTTGTGGGATGAGGCATTGGTTGTGGGTGTATAGCATCTGGGGCCCCTTGGGACATTGGGCCTGATCTGAGTTTTATTCTAGGTCTGATTTGCCCTGGGTTTGTGCAGACCTGGGTGCGTGCAGGGTGGAGTGGGCCCCCTGAGCAGGCTCCCCAGCCTCACCCCCACTCACCTGTGTCCCTGGCAGACCCACAGTTCATCAAGGCCACCATTGTGCACCAAGATCAGGCCTATAATGACAAGATCTACTACTTCTTCCGGGAGGACAATCCTGACAAGAACCCCGAGGCCCCGCTCAATGTGTCCCGTGTAGCCCAGCTATGCAAGGTGAGCTGATGTGTGAGGAGTGGGCACTGAGTGGGCAAGAGTGTGTTTCTGTGCATGACTAGGAGTGAGTGAGGGTGTGAGTGAGTGAGTGCCAGTATGCATATGTGTGTATGTGTGTGTATGTGTGTGAAGGAGCATGTGCAAATGTGCATGTGTATGGGATTGTGATTGTACATGTGTGCACAAGAGTGTACATCTGTGAGTTGGGTATATGTGGTCAAGTTCACTTGCATATGTGACAGTGTGCCCATGGGGCATTCGTATGTGAGTGTGTGAGTGCATGCATATGCAGGAGAGCGCATACATGTTTATTTACAGTGTTTGGTTGGAATGTGTGAGTATGCGTCACATGTGTGAGAGTGGGTAGATGAGTGTCTAGCCCATCTGCTTGGTGGGGATCCAGTACCCTCACCTGCAGAGTCCCCACCATGGCCCTGAGCCGTGGGTCAGACAGGCCTGCCATTTGGAGCCTGGCCTTGGAGCCAGGCCTGGGTTGGGTGGCAGCTCTGCCTGATTGCCTAGCAGGTCCCGGCCCATTTCTGAGCCTGCCTTCTCTGTAACCTGGGTGCTGGCAGGTGCCTCAGGCCGTGGGGCAGCCTGGGCAGGTGCTGAAGAGCCTCCTCTCCCCTCCATCCTCCCAGGGGGACCAGGGTGGTGAGAGTTCCCTTTCAGTCTCCAAGTGGAACACCTTCTTGAAAGCCATGCTGGTGTGCAGTGACACCGCCAGCAACAAGAACTTCAACAGGCTGCAGGACGTCTTCCTGCTCCCTGACCCCAGCGGCCAGTGGAGGGACACCAGGGTCTATGGCGTGTTCTCCAACCCTTGGTGAGTGACCTCATCCAGGGCCTAGGGGCTGGCTGGCATTGGTTAGGTGTCCAATAGGAATCTGCAGGCTTGGGCCTGCTGAGAGGAGGCTAGTATGGCATGACCAAGACCATGGGCTCCAGGGACAGGGCTGTTCCTGGGTCTGGGGATTAACTATAGGCTGGGGGTTGGGGGGCAGTGCTGAGCGAAGTGTATGCTGTTGTGTTTGTGAGTGTGTCCAACAGGTGTGTGTGCCTGTGTCCCTATGCACATTTGTGGCTGCACTCTGTCCGTGTGTCCCTCCACCTGTGTGTGTGCTCAGAGCATGGAGGCCTGTCTTGGGGTGCTGGGTGCTATCACGCCTGCTCAGACACTGCCTGCACCTGATAATTCACACCTTCTTAATCACTCTCATTGATTGAAAACAAGGCAGACAAAACTGTTGGGTATGTGTAGGGAGAGGTGGGTGATAGGGTAGGGAAGCCACCCTGCTCTGTGACTCCTGTGTGAGCAAATCTCTATTGGGATATGGAGGGGATGGAGTCCTCCAGCCTGTGCCTGGAGAGCTTGGACAATCACCCAACAGGGATGCCTTTGTTGGGATTCCGGCCTTGGGGTAGGCAGAGCAGATGACCTCTGAACTCAGTGATTCCAGAATAGAATGCAAGGTTGTAGTTTTAGATTCTAGCAAAAAGAAATTAGGTTGAATTTGCCTGGCTGTCTTCCTCTTTCCCTCCGTCCCTTCCTTCCTTTTTTCCTTCCGGTTTCGTGAACATCTGCTGTATGCCAGGCAATAGGCTGGGCCCTGACTATAGTTTCTGGCTTGATGGAGCTCGCAAGCTGGGGAGCTTGGCTGGAGGCTGAGGCTGTGTCCTGTCTGGTGCTGGGCTGGCCTGGGTGGGTAGAGATGGGCCTCATACTGAAGTGGTCTCTGTGTCCCCCCAGGAACTACTCTGCTGTCTGTGTGTATTCCCTCAGTGACATTGACAAAGTCTTCCGTACCTCCTCACTTAAGGACTACCACACGGCCCTTCCCAACCCTCGGCCCGGCAAGGTGAGCAGGGACACTGCTGTGGCCCAGGTCCCAGACTTGCCCCCACCCCACCCCTGGTGATTCCACTGACCCAGCCCATTCTTCTTGCACAGTGTCTCCCAGACCACCAGCCAGTTCCCACGGAGACCTTCCAGGTGGCTGACAGTCATCCCGAGGTGGCACAGCGAGTGGAGCCCATGGGGCCTCTGAAGACGCCACTGTTCCACTCCAAATACCACTATCAGAAGGTGGTCGTCCATCGCATGCAAGCCAGAAATGGGGAGACCTTCCACGTGCTGTACCTAACCACAGGTGGGTGGCTGCCCCGCGGCTTCCTTGTCTGCTATGTAAAAATAGGCCTGAAAGAAATGAGATTACCATCAGGTTGCAGCTTTACACAGGAAGGAAGCCTTGAGTGACTAAGAGTTGTCATGGGTTAGTGTGTATGACTGGAAGGTCAAGGCAGGGAGGGCTTCCTGGAGGAGGTAGGGGGCAAAAGGGAAAGGCATTTAGGATGGAAGAGGAGCACGCACCAGGATTTGGAGGCAGAAAAAGTGGCGAGTGTAAGTGAAGCATGGTGCAGCTTTGGTCCAGATGTCTGATTCAAGGAAGGAGATGGGAGGAAGAGGTATAGAGAAGGAGGAGTAGGGAGTTGCTCACCAGGGATCCTGCAGACCTCTGCCAAGCAGAGTGAGGAAATCGGACCCTCTCCCTGTCTTTGGGATTATGCAGGTGACAGGAAACATTTGATGAGCTGGTGGAACTCAAATAATTTAGTGACATGAGGAAGGACTTCCAGATGGCAGTCTTTGTAGAGGACTGGGGTAGCATCTGCTCTTTCTTGGAGGGAGCTTTCCTGGGGGAACCAGGGTCTTGCTGACCCTGGGGCTGGGTAGAATGGCCTGGGAGGTGCTCTTATATTCCAGAAAGCCACACGATATGGAGGAGCCATCCTTGAGCTCATGTTTGGCAGCTGTGGCCAAAGGGCTGTTCAGAAGTGAGTACTGGAGACTAGTGTTGGCGAGGGCTGCAGGCTTTCCTTAAAACCAGAGGGTGGGGCCATCAGTGTCTCCTGTGGGTACTCAGCGACTCTGGGACTATGTACTGTAGGCCACAGGCACCTACCCTCGATTGTTCAGGCTCTCCCGTGTGACTTCCTGCTGCTTGGCCTTGGTGGCCACATTGGAAGCCTGAGCCCTAGGGACATTGTTTGGCTCCTGGAAGCCTTGGGTAGAGGAATTTCCCACGGGGCAGAGCCTGGACTCTGGGTCCCGAGACCTTACCTCTCTCCTCCTCTATTCATCCTGGTTGCACCCATGTGCTCTGCCGCAGGGATGGCAGGCCTAGCTGTTTTGGTCAGCTAGGGAGACTGTGGGGAAGCCCAGGACTGGGAGCCAGGAGCCAGCACAAGGGCAGCCAGGCTTGGGCAGAGTGAGCCCTCACATTCCCGTCCCTGCAGACTTGGGGGAGTGAGTGCACTTGTGTGATGAGGCCTGTTGTCTTGGTTTGCCCTGAGGACCATTTGAGAAAAGCCATTTTGGAGCCTGCAGCAGGAAGGATTGCGGTCAGATAAAAAATAGAACTTTCTGAGTCCTCTGCAGAGAATGGGAGGCTCTCGTAATTGGGAGAAGTTATTGGCTCAGTTCCTGAGCGTTTTTCTGAGGAGAGGCTGTTAGTGGGGCTATGTAAGAAGGAGGTGGAGGGCAGTGTGTGTGTGTGTGTGTGTGTGTGTGTGTGTGTGTGAAGGCAGTGACCAGAGTGGGGGCTGCATCTCAGAGTCTGCAGTTGGGGATCACAGACACACAGAGAAGACTCCTAGCCAGGTAATCATCTGACTGTGTTTTTTTGGGGCAAGTGATGCCCTGGGAAATAAGAAGACAGGAAAAAAGGGAGGTAGGCTGTTCTAGAAAGTAGGACAGAGGGTGCAACGGGGGATTGGAAGGAACCCAAGGGTCAAGATGCCCATTAGTCCCCAACAGGTGCTCACAAAGAGCGCATTGGTCTGGGAGGCAGGCAGCCTGGTTATATGACCTTAGGCAAGTCACTTCCCCCTCTGGAAATTAACCAGATGCAATGTAAGCTCCCTTTTAGATCGGAGATTTTATAAGAATTTAAATATTCCCTAAAGACCAAATGTAATGTGAAATCCTGGACTGGCTCCTGGATCAGAGCAAGGATATTAGTGGAAAGACTGGTGAAATCTGAATCAAGTCTGTAGTTTAGTTGACAGTAATTTACCAATGTCAATTTCTTAATTGTGACAAATGTACCGTGGTTATGTAAGACATTAGCATTGGGGGAAACTGGGTGAAGGGTATATGAAGACTCTCTGTGCTATCTTTGCTGCCTTTCTGTAAATCTAAAATTATTCCAAAATTAAAAGTTTATTTAAGGAAAATATATCCCCTAAGAATCCAGGAGGCAGGGGAGTAATAGAAGCCTAGGAGTTGGAATGCTGACAGATCTGAGTTGGTCTCTGCCGTTCACCAGCTGTGTAACCTTGAGCAAGTTGCTTAGCATTTCTGAACCTCATTTTCTTACTTGCAGAATGGGTACGATAGTACCCATGCTACAAGGTTGTGGAGGATCCACTAGGGTACAGGGCTTGACCTAGTACTTGGGTACATGGGGTTCCTGATCCCATACCTCAAACTCCAGCTTCCCATGTGGACTTCAGGCCCTCTCAGGGGAGCCCTGAACCTCCTGGGATGGCTTCCCTGGCCCAGCCTTGGAAACTTCCTGGGTTGCCCTGAGCTTCCACATTCCTCCCCAGTCACACTCTCCTCTCCCCACCCCACCCCAGTCCTGTGATCCTCGCCTGAGTGATGACTTACCAGCCAGAGGCACCCCACCCCCAGCTGTGTCTCTACGCATGTCTTTCTGGACTGGCTCAGCCGCCAGGGAGGCTGCCTCTGCTCTGTGGTAGGCTCCCACCACTGACCCTCTGTGTGTCACCCACACAGACAGGGGCACCATCCACAAGGTGCTGGAGTCGGTGGGGCAGGAACACAGTCTTGTCTTCAACATCATGGAAATCCAGCCCTTCCGCCACGCAGCTGCCATCCAGGCCATGACACTGGACACTGACCGGGTGAGCGTCCCCACCTCCATCGCATCGGGCTACCCAGCCCTGGCCAGCTGAGGACAGCGCTCCTTCGCATATAATTTGCGTGTCCTTTGCGAAACTAAGGCATTTGGCTGCTAACCAGAAAGTCAATGGTTCAAACCTACCAGCTGCTCCATGGGAGGAAGATGGGTCAATCTACTTACGTAAAGATTTATAGCCTTAGAAACACAGTGGGGGTCTTTATGAGTCAGAATTCACTCAATGGCAGTGAGTTTGGTTTGGTTTTTTGGTTTTGAGAAACTTCTGGGCCCCACAACCTCCCAAGCAGCCTGGCCTATGGACTGGGGCTTAGAACTTTGTGTAGGCTGTGGAAGCCTCAGCCTGATCCCAAGTCCTGCTTTCCTTCCAGCGGAAGCTATATGTGAACTCCCAGTGGGAGGTCAGCCAGGTGCCTCTGGACCTGTGTGAAGTCTATGGCGGGGGCTGCCATGGCTGCCTCATGGCCCGAGACCCCTTCTGTGGCTGGAACCAGGGCCGCTGCGTCTCCATCTACAGCACCCAAGAGTACGTTGGCCGGATCCCTTATCCCTAGGAGAAGTTGGACATGGGAGAGGGGGTGGAGTGTCTTGAGGGTCTATAGGAATCATCTTTGCTGGTCCATTCTGACCAGTTCCCCTTGAGTGGGCAACAGTGCTGCTCTGGGGGTGAAGGGTAAGGATGAGGAGGGGGACCAGAGCTGTAGCCCCCTGTCTGCTCAGCCACCCTCCTTCATCTCTAGGTCTGTGCTGCAGTCCATTAATCCAGATGAACCACATAAACAATGTCCCAACCCAAAGCCAGGTAAGTGCTGGATCTGGCCCTGTCCAGGACTGCTGTTGTCCCAGTTGGAGGGAGATATGGCTTTGCCCTGAGAGCCCTGGTCACAGTCCTGCCTAGGGAGCCCTGTTGGGGTGGGGACTGATTCTGGGAGGGGTTGGGATGAGGGATAACGAAGGAGAAAACAGCCTTTGTTCACCACGTTCACTCAGAAGCCTTGCCTCTGGAGACCTGGTCAGGTGGGAGGAAAACAGCCTCCCCCTGGGAACCCTCCTTATGGCTGCCTCCCCCCATCCTCCCCAGATGAGCCTCCAGTACAGAAAGTTTCCCTGGCCCGGAACTCACGCTACTATCTGAGCTGCCCCATGGAGTCTCGCCATGCCACCTACTCATGGCGCCACAATAAGACGGTGGAGCAGAGGTGTGAGCCCGGCCACCAGAGCCCCAACTGCATCCTGTTCATTGAGAACTTCACGTCCCGGCATCACGGCCACTACCACTGCGAAGCCCAGGAGGGCTCCTACTTCCGTGAGGCCCAGCACTGGGAGCTGCTGCCTGAGGACGGTGCCACAGCTGAGCACCTTCTGGGCCATGCCCGAGCCCTGGCTGCCTCCCTCTGGCTGGGTGTCCTGCCCACTCTCGTCCTTGGCTTGCTGGTCCACTAGGGCCTCCTGAGCCAGGCTTGCTGCAGGCTTCCTCAGCCCCAGGGGTGCTAGGAATATCTTACTCACAGAGCCAGCCAGTCCGGGGCTCCTTGCCCATGCTTACTCCAGGGGGACTGTATACCCTGATAGAGTCCCGGGCCTAGAGATGTCCAGCCGCAGGCGGCTGCTGGGCCCCAGATGGGGCTAGTGGTGGGGACCAGAGAATGAAGGCACTGACTATGAAACAGGGGGCATCTGTGACCCAAGACTTTGTTTCCTGGAGAATATTTGTCAAAGACTTGACTTAATGCAGCAATGCTCTGAGTTGGAGAACCCCATGGACCAGGGGTTGAGGGTTGGAAAGAGGGTCTGGGACCCCATTGCTGGATCTTGGGGCTGAGTCCTGAGTCCTTCTGGACTCTCTGTACCCAACTTGCCTCCCTAATAGCCACCCCCCCACACTCCATAGCTGGGGGTGGCTGGTGTTCCTGAAGGCCTCAGGCTGCCCCCTCTAGCCCTGGGGACAGGCACCAGGTGGAGCTAGCCCTGGGTCCCCTGGGTCAGCCTTGCATGTTTATTGAAGGATGTTTGCTTTCCGGACAGAAGGACGGAAAAAGCTCTATTTTTATGTTAGGCTTATTTCATGTGTAGCTACTTCCGACTGCATCTGTATGAAAATACCAAAACTACATGCTGGGGGTGGGGTGGGAGAGGGAGGGACGGGGGAGGGGTAGGGTGGGGAGGTCCCAGTCTGAGGCTCCTAGGGATGGGATGAGGCCAGAGAAGGGCATGGGTTCAAAGAGAGTGGCATGAGCTGGCTCTGCCCAGGGAGCCCAGGCTGAGGGGGATGTCCAAGCCCCGCAGTGTCCCACAGACACTGACTGCCGACGTGGGGGGTGGTTACGGGAGGGGTTGGGTGAGAGAAACAAAAGAATGAAGGAGAACACTGAGCCCTAGTTCACCATATTCATTCAGAAGGAGGAGCCGGGTCCTCAGGTGGAGGTTCCAGGACTCTGCCCTTGGCATTGGGGGTTGGGGGGCGGGGGGGTACCCTCCCCTCCCTTCAGCCCCCTTCCCCAGGGGCTGTGCTTCCATGCTCCTAGCCTCCCACCTTCAGCTCAGGACATGTTATAACTTAGGCTAAACTGTGAATTCCGGTGGGGATGGCCTGGGCCCAGCTCTCCAGGTGGGTGCCTGCCCCCAGCCCTGTCCATGGATTTCAGCAGAGAGCTGGGCTCCTCCAGCTGGATCTGGCTGGCCGGGGCAGGGCCCAGGGCCAGTGGCCTTCCAGCTTCGGCCCCTGCATCTCTTCTCAATGCACTTTAATAATGTAACATATTACTAATAAACGAGCTATTTATTTACTTGTGCCTGCTCCTTGCCTGCAAAGCCATCCTACTCGGGGTTAGCATGGGGTAGGGGGACTCCTGTTTATCACTCAGCACCTCCCTCTGCTTGCTGCAAACTTGAAATGCATTCTCACTGGTCCTCTCAACAGCCACACCCAGGAGAGGTTATCATTCCCTTGTTATGTAGCTCCACCCTGGGTGACACAAAGGGTTAAGTGCTAGACAGCTGAAAGATTGGCAGGTTCCATCTCTCTCAGAGGTGCCTGGGAAGACAGACCTAGTGATCTGCTTCAGAAAGGTTGCAGCCATTGAAAACCCGGTGGAGTGCAGTTCTGCTCTGTACTTAGGGTTACTGTGAGTCAGAATTGACTCGATGGCAACTGGTTTGGTTTGGAAACAAACTCAGCAATGCACCCAACTGGTGAGAGGCAGGAATCAAGGTCTGAAGCCACATCTCCTGGGGGTCCTCAAACTATTGATGCCTGGAGCCTTACCTCTTCTCAGCTCAGGAGCTGGCCTTTCCCTCCATGACCCACCACTTCCCCCGGGAGGCCTAGCTAAATCATGCTAGATACAGTCTCAGACCCTGCATTCTAGATCAAATACGCCCCCCTCTCCCATAAGACGCCATGTGCAGGAGGCATAGGACCATGGGAGGTGGCTTGGCGTTGGGACAAGTAAATGGGTATTTACTCCTAGCCAGGCCCAAGGGCAGGGCAGGAGTCAGCCAGGCTCCTTGCAGAAGGGATGTGGCTGGAGGTAAGGAGGGTGAGAGGGTGGGAGGGTTTGTGTAGTTATAGATCTTGGCTTTTCAACCCCCAGGGCAGTGAAGAGGGATAGGTGGTATTAGTGCTTTAGAAACTGAACTTTCTTCAAAATAAGGCAAATACATTTTAACACCCAGAAGGACTTGCAAGAAGGAGTGGGACTTGGGACTGGGGTGGGAGGCAGAGAGGGGAATTAGGAGTTAGGAGGCTGTTCAGGGGGGATGGTGGGCAAAACTAGGGCAGTAGCTTTGGGATGAAAGGTGGGGATGGTAGAGGGATTCAGAGAGGAACCCAGGTGTCCTCCCCTCCACTCTCCTTCCTTCCTTTTTTCCCTTGCCTCTGCTCTGCCTGCCCTTGAACAGGGTTCCAGGCCTTTTGAGGTTTCCAGGAGCTTTTCCTGAGCAGAGATGCTGGAGGAGGTGTGTGGTAGACATGGGACAGTCTCCCTCTCAAAGTCTGATTTCAGCTTTTGTGTGGATCTGGGGGACCCCTAATAAGGCACATTAAGGCTGGAGTTGCAGCACCTACCCCACGCAACTGCTCCACCATCCAAGGCGCTCCCTTGCCCCTTCAGTCTGCTGTGTACACCTGGACCAGCCCTGGATTGAAGATTCTCCCTGATTCTTTCCTCCTCATACCCAGCTTCCTGGGGTGACCAAAGTAGCAGCGGGTGCTTGGGGCCAGATGTCTTTGGGGGTTTTGGAGACCCAGAAGATCCCTGGACTGTGCATAAAGACTTGGTGCCATGTCCCCCTTTGCCACTCACTGTCCCTGGCTTTCTCTGAGCTTCATTCTCTTCACATGTAAGAGGAAGGGCTGGCCAGCACTTCTCTGGGGACCTTTTTGCACATTGTTCTGGGTTCTGAAATGCATCTGCCTAATCTGGGCCCAGTGTATCCATTTACCCCAGCTCCTAGCCAAGCAATGTCCGCACAGGGGCCCCTGGCTAGTGGCAAAGGCACAGACAAGATTGGATGATTCTGTCAGTGTCAGATCCTGGGAGCTAAGGCCCTGGATCTTTATCCTGGGGAGCAGAGTCCACAAGGAGGGAATGGAACAGCCGGTGGAGAGACTGTGGCTCAAACTTTGGCCCCATCTTGATTGCTGGGTGATCTCCAAAGAGGTCCTTGACCCCTCTGGACCTCAGCAGCCACTCTGTTTTCTGTGGGGATCATCTTGGTGCTCTTCTGGGCCCAAGTGAGGGGGCTTGAGGGATGGAACACACATACCCGAGTGGAGGGTAGCCATGCGCACTGAGGCATGAAATGAGCCCATGTAAATCCCATGTAAATGAGGCGCCTGGGAGAGGTAGCCAGGCTTAGAGCTTCTGTCCTATTTCCCCTTGATGGACAGGCAGCCAGTAGACAGGACCGTTAGGCCAGGCCAGAGTGGGGGAGGGTCTGCTGAACAGATACCCACTTGATCACCAGGGTGCCTTGAGGCAAGGCTGAAACCAGGAGCCAGGCTTCTGCTCTGCCCTCCCTCTGGTGCATCCTTGAGTGCGAGAAGGAGCACAGAGGGAAGAAGAAGGACAGACCAAACTCAACTCCCCTGGGGAGCCCAGCAGGGAGGAGAGCTCTCCTTTACCCTCCCCCTTCATGAATCTAAAAGTCACTAAGACTTGACCCTGTGCTGTATCACCTGTCCACATCCTGCCATCTGCTCACCTGAGTGAAGACTGCTGCCTTCTTGTCTCTTTGCTACATAAAACCCTTTAACAGCTCTCCACTACCTGCAGACAAGGTCCATCCTGGTCCAGCATTCACAGTCACACGTGCCCTGTCTTCTCTATCCTTGGCTCTCAGTATGCTCCATCTGCCCTTCCTGGAGCCACTCTATGCCTGGGCTCCTGTGGTCCCCTCCCTTGGAATGCCAGAAGTTGGATGTGCCTAGGCTGAGATTTCAGGATGCCCTTCAATTCTCCAAAGGGACCCTGGACTCCTTATGCCTGATGCCTCAGCTCACTCAGCTCTGAGCTGCAGGGGCAGATGGAAACTTAGGGTGCCTAATCTCAGGCACCCCTAAACCATCCCCAGGCATTTTTAGCTGCCCACATGGCCCAATTTTGACTGCTCATTGTCTGAAAAAGCAAGTGAAAAGTCTGGGTTGAGCTGGGGTGCTAGACATGAGGTAGTCCGTGGTGAGGCCTGAGGGTTGGTTGGCCTGGACTTGGGCAGTGGAACAGGGCTGGGAAGGCTAAATCCAATTCAGGAAGTTCTTTTATGTTGGTATTGGTTAGTCCTGGGAGGAAAAGACCTTGGACAAAAACAAAAACCATATCCTCAGCGTCACCAGTGGCCATCAGCCAGCCCACGGAAGGGGAAAGAACACAAGACCACAACCAGGAGGCATGCTGGGTGCCTTTTGTAGTATGGTGTCCCACCCCAGAGCTGCTGGATCCAGGCCAGCCCAAGGTCTCAGAATAATAATAGTTTTGGCATGTTGTATAAAATGAATGAGCTCAGAAGGGCTTAAATAGCGGTAAACACATGCCTTGGGTTGGACCTATATCATGCTCACATTAGTTTCCTAGTGTTAATGTAATACAACCACCACTGAAAGGATTGTGCAAGGATTGTGAGCCTGGCACAGGACTGGGCAGTGTTTCATTCTGTTGTACACAGAATCGCTTTTAGTTGGCGCTGACTTGATGGCACCTAACTACAACAACAACAACAACAATGTAATACAAATATCACAAGTGGGTGGCTTTAAAGAACAGAAATTTATTTTCTCAGTCTTTCGGAGGTTAGAAGTCTGAATCCAAGGCACTAGCTATAAGGGAAGGCTCTCTCTCTGTTGGCTCTGGGGCAAGACCTTTGTCTCTTTCCGGGTCTGCCATCCCAGTGTTCTTTGGTTCCTTTGCAGTTCTCACGTGGAATCTGTCTTCCCCTATTTGTACTTGCTTGTGTCTGTGTCTATGCTGCTGCTTATAACTCAGAAG